TTATTTTAGGGGCAATAAAAGGGAATAAATAGTGGCTAAATAGTGAATGAATAGTGAATAAATAGTATATAAATAGAAAATAAATAGGAAATAAATAGTGAATAAATAGGAAATATTCTGAGCTGGCAGAAGGACTCCCTTCTGGGGATACTGACACAGGCCTGACTGCAGACCTGGTGCCCCAGCCTTGTTAAGAATCCAGCTGCTCAGATGATCCCAAATTCTTGCTCCTGGCTGGATTCCCATTTAACCTGTGAAGGTCCYGGTGCTCTGCTGTCCCCGTAGCCTTTTCAGGGTGATCTGTTCAGCCCAGCCCCACTGCAATTTCCTCTTCTTTCTTTAACCCCATGATTAAATCCCTGCAATCCCTTTTGCATTCCCATTCCTGCAGCTCCCTGGGGCTGGAAGCTCCCTGGGGAAACTGAGGCAGCATGGCTGGGCTGCTGGCAGGGCCGGGGCTGGGAGGTGCTGAGGCTCGCAGGCTGCTCTGTACAGGGTTATTTTTGGGATTGATTCCCTGATCCCTGCAGGAACGTGGAGACCGTGTGCCGCTTCCCGGAGCTGCCGGCACGCAGGCAGCTCAGCTACCAGGCCAAGCAGCTGATCGCCAGGGAGCTGGAGCTGGAGAGGATGAGGAGGGCAGAGGCTGTGCTGCAGGCACGGAACGGGGGCCAGGTGGGCAGCCCAGAGGGGAGGGCAGGGATGGGGATGTGSAGAAAATCCTCGGGGATGGGGTTTTTCCAAAGCAGCCCGTGGCTTTGGCTCTGCGAGTGGAAATCCTGGATTAACCCAGCTGTTGGTCTGCACAGCTGGGCTGGGCTGGGCTGGAGGGCTCAGCTTTTTGCAGGAATTCTGGAGGGATTTGAAGCTTTGAACCCTTCCACTCTCTGGTGAGGGGTGTGAGGAGGTGGCAATTTTTGGCTGTGGTTGGTATTTGCSCATGGGGGTGGTGACCTCTCCCCTGCCTTCCCTTCCCTGGCTGCTGCAGCTCCAGAGCTCCCAAAGTCCCCAGGAGGAGCAGAGCGGGCTCTGCCCACTGCCCAAACCCTCCTGGGGGCAGGAGAAGATGGRAATGGGGGGGAAAGGTGGACAAATAATCCCGGGTGTTGGTTGTGCCTGCCCTGCCCGGTGCCAGCGGGATAATTAATCCCTGGGAGCCCCCTGGTGCAGGAGAAGGGCTCCTGGGGGATCTGTGGGACAAAGAGATGCTGCAAAAACATCTCAGAAGGCTCCTTGTTTACTTGATGCTGAATGTGAAGTCCCAGGGCTGCAGCTGGGGCTGATCCCACAAGGCAGAAAATGATGGAAAATCCCTTGGGATATTGCAATC